TGGGTCTGGATAAAGCTATAATGATAATACATAGATTTTTAAGGTTTATAGCTAAGAAATTGCCCTTTTTGTACCTTATGTAAATATAATAAATGTATTTCCGTGCTTGATTGAAAAGCCTGATATGTCAGTCAAATTTATGCCAATTATCAAAACTGTTGAAGTTTTTGTAGCATTAGAACAATAAATATTTTTGTTATCTCTCAAGAACTAGAAATGCATTTAGTCAGTCCTAAGTATTTTGACATGGGCTTACTATAAAACTACTAAGAATTTTATCTGGAAAAAATAAGTATTAAGCAGTATTTCTGAAGCATTGACATGAAACTCACTCCTGCATGGAACAGGTCGGGCTGTGGTGCTCAGGGAAACCTGTGGCAGAATCTTGTGGCGAAATTGTGGGGTTTTGTGGGTTGTCTCAGCCGTGACTGTCAAGAAGTGACTTGGCTCTCACTGCTTCTGAAGGGTGGCATGTTTAATTAATCAGCACATTAAAGCCAGTTCTTGTGTCAGTGTTAAATCTCACCTGTGTGCCTGAATTCAATGCTGGGGAGGGGGGGTGTGTGACTCCAGGAGTGCAGCGTCTGCAGCTGGAGTGTTGCCAATAACTATTGATAACACAAAGTCCAGAATAGAACCCGTCTTGGTTTCCCCACCAGCATTAACCCCTGCACCGCCCTTAATTAGGGCCAGTTCTGTGCTTGGAAATGAACCAGTGCATCCGTTAACGATGCATACGCAGCATCCAGCTAATTTTCAGCTATAACGGCTCTGGCTGCGTAGAAGAAAAAGCAAAAGATTTATTTCCCCCTTGTAATCGAATCAAACTTGGTTTTAAATACGCACAAAAAATTGATTTGGTAAGAAAGAAATTGACATTTTTTTAACTTGCAGCAATAACTTTATTTATGACACATCTGGCCTAGATGTTTCCTGAGGGTATCATGGAGTGAGTGGTGAAGGAAGGAAGGAAACAAACACCACCGATGTCCACATCTTTGACTCAATTTATACATCAGCTCATTAAGCTGATTTGGGTACTGCTTATCTATTAGTAACACCTGTAAAGGTTATTTTCTTTCCATGATGTGCATAAGAAACACTTGTAGAGGGCTGTATATCTATATTTTTTTGTAAACATGTACAGGATGCTAAAAAAGGCCCAAGAGAGACCAGGTAGAGAAAGAGGGCAAGAATATCAATATGGTGAGAAAAGGGATTTCATAGAATCACAGAATGGTTAGAGTTGGAAGGGACCTTAAAGATCATCAAGTTCCAACCCCCTGCCCTGGGCAGGGACACCTCCCACCAGACCAGGTTGCTCCAAGCCCCATCCAGCCTGGCCTTGAACCCCTCCAGTGTTTAACACTTTATGGTGGTCTGCTTGTAACAGCAATGTGCCAAGATGCTGGTCAGATTGTGTGACACTGTGCCTTGCGCTGCTTTTGTATTCATGGCATTTATACATTAAAAAGTACCTCTACATTCATTTCACATAATCACAGAGTGATATGGGGTTGGAAGGGACCTCTGGAGATCATCCAGTCCAAGCCCCTGCAAGAGCAGGGTCACCCAGAGCAGGTCCCACAGGAACATGTCCAGGTGGGTTTGAATGTCTCCAGAGGTGACTCCACCACCTCTCTGGGCAGCCTCTTCCAGGGCTCTGCTACCCTCACAGGAAAGAAGTTCCTCATGTTTAGATGGAACTTCTTATGATGAAGTCTGTGCCCATTTCCTCTTGTCCTGTCCCTGGGCACCACTGAAAAGAAGACCAGCTCCATCCTCCTGCCACCCACCCTTTCAGTATTTATAGGTGTTGATCAGATCCCCACCTCAGCCTTCTCTTCTCCAGACTAAAGAGACCCAAGTCCCTCAGCCTCTCCTTGTAAGAGAGATGCTCCAGGCCTCTAATCATGTCTGTGGTCCTCTGCTGTACCCTGTCTAGCAGTTCCTTGTCCTTCTTGAACTGGGGAGCCCAGAACTGGACCCAGTGCTCTAGATGTGGCATCCCCGGGGCAGAGCAGAGGGGCAGGTTGACCTCCCTCCAGCTGCTGGTCACACTCTTCTTGATGCTCCCCAGGACACTAATGGCCTTCTTGGCCACAAGGGCACATTGGTGGCTCATGGGCATCCTGTTGTCCACCGAACTCCCAGGTAAGTTGGGTTGAACTTCATATGAATGCCTGTGGAAGAAGGTATTCCGGGATGCTGTGAGTTTTTTCATAACCTGGCCCTTTTGCTTGCTTTTCTTCACGCAGGAGAAGGTGGAGGGGCTGGGGAGGAACCGTAGGTGGATGGATAGGTGAAGTAAGGGAGAAAAAGGCATTGCCTCCTTTTCTTGAGCATCTCCGGAGGGAGGAGGTACTCTGCATTGTATTTTTGGAAAAGGGAGGCCTCGTGTGGTCAGTGGTGGGAACAGCTGTAGCTCAGCAGACCAGGATTTACTGGTGTTTTTCCAGTAGCAATCATAGAATTGTAGAATTGCCTGGGTTGGAAGGGACCTTTCAGATCATGGAGTCCAACCATCAACCCAACACTGACAAAACCCATCACTAACCCATGTCTCTAAGCACTATGGCTGCCCGGCTTTGAAGTCCCTCCAGGGATGGTGACTCCACCACTGCCCTGGGCAGCCCATTCCAATGTGCAATAACCCTTTCTGTGTAAAAATTGTTCCTAATCTCCAATCTGAACCTCCCCTGGTGCAACTTGAGGCCGTTTCCTCTTGTCCCATGGCCTGTTCCTTGGGAGAAGAGACCGACCCCCCCTGGCTACCCCCTCCTTTCAGGGAGTTGGAGAGAGCGAGAAGGTCTCCCCTCAGCCTCCTCTTCTCCAGGCTGAACACCCCCAGCTCCCTCAGCTGCTCCTCACAAGACTTGTGCTCCAGACCCCTCACCAGCTCCGTTGCCCGGCTCTGGACCCGCTCCAGCCCCTCAATGTCTTTCTGGGAGTGAGGGGCCCAAAAATGCAGACAAGATTAAAGGAAGAAGGAAGGCACGAGTGTGATTACAGCTGCTCTGCTGTTGAAAAGGTCTGTAGTAGGAAATAGTGTTCTCACTGGTCCTTTTTTTTTTTTTTTTTTTTATTGTGTTGGAAGATGGATATCTTCCATTGCCATTCTAGGCATCTAAAACAAGTAATGAAATATAACTCAAACTCAGAACTCCATGTTTCATCTTAAATTAATTAGTGGAACAGGAGAATTGAAATGGAGCACCGGTCTGTCTGGTATCTCACACGATGACCTTTTGGTTAAAAGGCAAAATGAAGAAAAAAAACCCAAACCTGGAAGAGTGTCTAGTGCATGTCAATAAAAAAAATAATGTCTGAGGTATCCAATGCTGAGCTCTTTGCCTTGAGATAGTGTAAGATGTCGCTGTGAGGAACTGTACAGCAGCCCATGAGAAGTCCTGTGTGTCAGCGAGCCGTGGGTTAAAGCCCTTGTGCTCAAGAGGGTGTTCCATCACTCTCACCTTAGACATGTATCTTGGAGAGAAACAAGCCCAGTCACCCTGTATTTATCTCATTCTGCATTCTTATGATCAATTCTATGCACATTCTCTGACTTTTTGAAGGATTGTAATTAAATCAAAGTCCCCAAAATGCGGGATTTACCATCAGTAGCACACTGACTGCCATCGGCTGGGGGTTGTGAGAAGCTTCTCACCGTGCCTGCCCTTCTGGGGAGGTTATTTGGGTTTGTGACTCCAGCTGGAGGCAGTCTGTGGGGAAGGCATGGGGCTGCCCTTGTGCCCACTCACGTGAACGGTGTGGGGCTGGAAGCTGCCTCTTTGTTTCTTCCCTTTTGATTTATTAGATTTGTCCTCACCTTGTCTCTTTCAGTGACTTAAATCCATTCCCTTGCTTAACTTTAGCCAAAATTTACCTTAAAATCAAACGTTACTGGGATGTAGCTCTCGCCATAGGAGGTTCAGGTCTTCAGAATACTAATGGTGGGATTCACCTGGTTTATAAAAGTTGCCTGTGGGTGTGGGTTATCCGGTTCACCTGAAGTGGTGGCCTTTATTGTGGATGGAGCAGTCAGGGTGAAGAACACAAGGTCCTGGGCTCTGTAATCATAGAATCATAGAATGGTTTGGGTTGGAAGGGACCTTAAAGATCATCCAGTTCCAACCCCCTGCCCTGGGCAGAGACACCTCCCACCAGACCAGGTTGCTCCAAGCCCCATCCAGCCTGGCCTTGAACCCCTCCAGGGATGGGGCAGCCACAGCTTCTCCGGGCAACCTGTTACTTCCCTGGGCAACCTGTTAATCTCACCAGGGTTTTCAGTTTGCTCATCTCCCCGATGCAGCAGAAATATAGATGTTGTCTAATAGATAAGGCATGGACTATCAGAAGCTGCATCTTCTCGACTGTCTCCAGTGGAAGCATTTTCTGATGGTGGAAGCTGGTGTTTGTTACCAGATGCTTTTCAAGACCCTACTTCACGCAGGAAAAAAACCACAACAAACAATACAAATAGTTCATTTTTTTCTAATTTTGTCTAGAAAAGAAATAATAATTGAGAAGCCTTGTCCCTTGAGATGGAAAGAACACATCTGGAGGCAAAATAAATGTATATTATTCCGCAGCTTTATGTATCCTTGCTCCAAGTGACGTGCGTTTGGCAATGGAGTATTTATACTCCCAGGGTGTGATTCAGGATGTCTTCTGAGTAAATAATATAACATTTTTTGCTCTGTTTGCCGAGAGCGTGATGCCGGCGTCCCTGAAATTCATTTTGCTCAAGGAAAAAAAAAAAAAAAAAAAAAAAACCAAGGGCTGTGGAAAATATATGCAGACATAAAGATGATGGAGAGAGTCCTACCAGACACAAAATGAAAGGCAGGCAAAGATGCCCAAAGTGTTTTTGTGGTCTGGAAGGCAGCCAAAGAGGCATTGATTTATTAAAGAGCAGTGAAAAAAAAAAAAAAAAAAAGAAGAGGAGGAGGGGGAGGGGAGAATCCTGCCATGTGACCTTCCTACCTGCGCATCCATCTTTCTGCGCCTCCCGCAGGGATGCTGTAGGCGGATTCCCTTTGGGAAGGGCCATCCCTGTGCCGGGGAAGAAGGGGTGTGTGGGGGGGTGTTATCCATCCCCCTCCCCTCCCCTCCTCGGGCATCTCCTCCTTTGAATCCCCAAGGGCAGGGCGGCCGCCGTTGCGCATCCGCGCATCCCTCCAACCCCGCCCGGCGCAGCGCGGCGTAGAGGGGCGGGGAGGGACGCGGGGATGGCGCCGCTGGTGCTGTACCACTGGACCCAGTCCTTCTCCTCCCAGAAGGTGAGGGGGGCGACCTCGGGGAGGGGAGGGAGGAGGCGGATTGCGGGCCCCCCATCCCCTCCTCCCGGGATGCCGAGCGGCGGCGGGGCCGGGAGATGGGTTGGCTCCACGGAGCCGGGGGGAGATGTCGATGGAGAGGTTCTCCTGGGATAACCCCACCGGTACCGTTGCAGGTGCGCTTGGCCATCGCCGAAAAAGCCCTGGAGTGCGAAGAGCACGATGTCAACCTGCCCCTGAGCGAGCACAACGAGCCCTGGTTCATGCGCTTGAATTCCTCCGGGGAGGTGCCCGTCCTCATCCACGGGGAGAACATCATCTGCGAGGCCACGCAGATCATCGACTACCTGGAAGCCACCTTTGTAGATGGTAAACCCCATTGGCGTTTCGGCGTGAAGTCCTTTCCCCGCCTACCCCCCGGCGGGAGGCAGTTTTGGGGCCAGCTCCTCCTCGCTGCGTGTGTTGGTTGGTTTTCAGGAGCAGAAAACATTTATAGTCTCAAAAATAAACGGGGTCTCCTAATAATGGGGTAAAAAAGTGCTCCTTTAAAACAAACCGAAGGCCTTCCAGCATCTTTATACCATCCACCATCCTCCTTCCCCCTTGGGGAGGGATGGAGGAGTCAGCGATGGCTGCGCTCACCCCGGGGAGACTGACACCAAAAACCCTGTGTTGAGCAGGGAAAAGCAGCACAACTTCTGCTGCTGCTGGGCAGCTCCTGCTCCGCGGGGAGAAGAAAGAAAGACACACGTTACTGCTTAATTCCAGAACAATCTCAGGGGCTGGGGGAAGGAAGTGGAATGGGGCAATTATTTTTGGAGCCAAAACGGGAATGAAGAGGTGAAAAAGTAGGAAAAAAAAGCTCGGAAGTGGTCACATGTAGGCTTTTGAAAAGCCTTGTGTCCATATTTTTCAGTGATGCCCAGGGACAGGACAAGAGGGAATGGGCACAAACTGGAACATGGGAAGTTCCATCTCAACATGAGGAGGAACTTCTTTCCTGTGAGGGTGGCAGAGCCCTGGCAGAGGCTGCCCAGAGAGGTGGTGGAGTCTCCTTCTCTGGAGACATTCAAACCCACCTGGACACGTTCCTGTGGGACCTGCTCTGGGTGGACCTGCTGTGGCAGGGAGTTGGACTGGGTGATCTCCAGAGGTCCCTTCCAACTCCTATCATTCTGTGATTCTGTGATTTTGCTGGGCTGTGCTAATACCACAGTGGAGAATCACGAGACTTTCTTAACTGTGCCTGTGTCGTCTGCAGCAGTTGGACACAAGTAACTCAGGAAATACTGCTCTTGGTCATTTACACAGTTCTTCTTTTGTTGACCCTGTTTTTTAACTTTGTGTTGCAGAGGAAGTCCCAAGACTCATGCCAGAAGAAGGGAGCATGTATTACCCGCGGGTGCAGCACTACAGAGAGCTTCTAGACTCCTTGCCTATGGATGCCTACACGCATGGCTGCATCCTGCACCCCGAGTTAACCGTGGACTCCATGATCCCAGCCTACGCCACCAGCAGGATCCGCAGTACGTACTGGGGTAGCCCTGAACCCCTGGCAGGTCATAGGGTGTTGCATTCTGCCCAGAGAAGCTGTGGCTGCCCCATCCCTGGAGGGGTTCAAGGCCAGGCTGGATGGGGCTTGGAGCAACCTGGTCTGGTGGGAGGTGTCCCTGCCCAGGGGGGAACTGGAATGGGGCAATTAATTTTGGAGCCAAAACGGGAGTGAAGAGGTGAAAAAGTAGGAAGAAAAAGCTTGGAAGTGGTCACATGTAGGCTTTTGAAAGGCCTTGTGTCCATATTTTTCAGTGGTGCCCAGGGACAGGACAAGAGGAAATGGGCACAAACCTGAACATAAGAAGTTCCATCTGAACATGAGGAGGAACTTCTTTCCTGTGAGGGTGGCAGAGCCCTGGCAGAGGCTGCCCAGAGAGGTGGTGGAGTCTCCTTCTCTGGAGACATTCAAACCCACCTGGACACGTTCCTGTGGGACCTGCTCTGGGTGGACCTGCTGTGGCAGGGAGTTGGACTGGGTGATCTCCAGAGGTCCCTTCCAACTCCTATCATTCTGTGATTCTGTGATTTTGCTGGGCTGTGCTAATACCACAGTGGAGAATCACGAGACTTTCTTAACTGTGCCTGTGTCGTCTGCAGCAGTTGGACACAAGTAACTCAGGAAATACTGCTCTTGGTCATTTACACAGTTCTTCTTTTGTTGACCCTGTTTTTTAACTTTGTGTTGCAGAGGAAGTCCCAAGACTCATGCCAGAAGAAGGGAGCATGTATTACCCGCGGGTGCAGCACTACAGAGAGCTTCTAGACTCCTTGCCTATGGATGCCTACACGCATGGCTGCATCCTGCACCCCGAGTTAACCGTGGACTCCATGATCCCAGCCTACGCCACCAGCAGGATCCGCAGTACGTACTGGGGTAGCCCTGAACCCCTGGCAGGTCATAGGGTGTTGCATTCTGCCCAGAGAAGCTGTGGCTGCCCCATCCCTGGAGGGGTTCAAGGCCAGGCTGGATGGGGCTTGGAGCAACCTGGTCTGGTGGGAGGTGTCCCTGCCCAGGGCAGGGGGTTGGAGCTCGATGATCTTTAAGGTTCCTTCCAACCCAAACCATTCTATGATTCTATGGTCCTATGATTACATTCGTCTTGTGTCTTCAGTGCCCCTTAAGCAGAATATATTGAGCACAGATTTCCAGTTTTAGGTGCAGCCCTTGACAATTTGCATGTAGACTTTTTATTGGTTTTGTAGTCTGTTAGGATTTGGAAACGGGAGAGAGGAAGTGTTGTTTCGGAGGTGCCTGTGGAATTAATTTTCCTAATGATTGAAAATGTGCATCTTGTGCATAACAGAAAATCGCAGCTGGGACAGCTGTGAATATTAAGTCCATGAGTGAACCCTTTTATGCTTATAAAGCAATTTCTAGGGAACAGCACTGTTACTGCTCACAGCAAACCACTAGACTGAAGACCCATTTTTTTTGCAATTGTAAACTTATTACAAGTTTACCTGTTAAAATAAAGCGGTTGTTTTCCTCTCAAAGTGGTGCAAATGCAAATTAGCCTCAATGAAACAGAGTCTGTTTATCCAATATATCACAAGAGAATCATTCAGCCCTTTTAGCCCAAGCAATGTACCGGAGTTGACTTGGTACCAAGGGCAGGGAAGAAAAAAAATAGAATAAATTGTGCAGATGTAAGTAGTTTGGGTTCATCTGAGCAATGGAAATCCTTAAAGCACAATTTAAACCAAAATCCTGGGTGCAAACAACGCAACACTATAAAATCAGGACAAAGGATTAGAATCAGTGGTAAAAAATACCTTCTGACTTCCTTGGGATGGATATTTTAGCTGATGGACTTGTATATACACTAAGGAATGTACCAGTGTTGACTTGGTACCAAGGGCAGGGAATTAAAAAAATAGAATAAAGTGTGCAGGTGTAACTAGTTTGGGTTCATCTGACCAATGGAAACCCTTAAAGTACAATTTAAACCGAAATCCTGGGTGCAAACAACGCAACAATATAAAATCAGGACAAAGGATTAGAATCAGTGGTAAAAAATACCTTCTGACTTCCTTGGGATGGATATTTTAGCTGATGGACTTGTATATACGTAGTGGTTTCCCGTGAAAAAATTCAGTAAGGGCAGAGGAAGTACCTGTAGGTTATCCCCATGATAACAGAGAACCTCCTGGAATGAATTCCTGTATCAAATTCAGTAGTTTGCAGAAAGACTTAGTTTAAGTGACATTTGGTGATATTCAGAAAAATCCTTGGTAAGTAATCTGTCAGTTCTCATACCTCTCTTTTCACCCCTTGCTGGGTTTCAATGCCAGAACTGGACAGCAGATTCTGTTCACTTTGCTATCAGATTGGGAGACAAATATTTATTTCTTTATTCTTGGTTTTTGGGTGTGTTTTTTTTACTGTGTGTATGTTGGAGGACTCCAGGACTCCTGCATTGCTTTCAGCAAGAAGCGCACGGGGAATCCTTGTTCAGCTGGTCATGGATCACGACCTCAGTCCAGCTTTTCAGATAAACTTCCAGTGCTCTCTCCAAGAAATGTCTTTCGTGGAATATATCTTTTGCTCCATTTTTTATTTTACATCAGACTGTGTTAAAACCTCAACTGGTTCCTTAGGCCCAGTTTATCAACCAGTCCGGGCCACTGGGTGTCAGTGCCATGTTTTTCCTTGAGTTAGGCTTCTAGTCTTTGTACCATGGCAAACTCTAGTAAATGCTTTTATGTTTCATTTTAAGTATTACAGAAGAACTAGATAGTTCTGGGACAAGGATCAAATCCCAAGAACGTGACTGGGTGATGATCCCTTGCTTACAGTTATGTTCTGAGATCTCGGAGTTTTTTGGTCAATGTCACTGCTTTGTATTGTGTTGATTTTTTGGTACATTTTAGGATGCTCCGTAGAACCAAGTCAAGTACTGCAGAGACATGAGATGTATTACAACTATAGAATTACCAAATTCATAATATCATAAAATATGATACTGTCTTAGTTTGAGAAGTTCTGTTTCCAAGAAATGGTGTCATCCTCCTCCTTAAAACTTTTGGCAAGTCAGTTCTCCTCTTAGCCACGCTGGGATGTTGTCAGAGTGAAGGCAGACAGTTAGTTTTCCTTGTAGCTGCACGAGTTACCCTTTGTAAAACGTCAGCACGTGATTCTTTTTCTTTCCATCTGCTGGAAACTACTTGAGCATTGCAAAGTATTTAGAAGTCAGCGTTGCTGGTCCAATGGTCAATGGTTGTTTAAAATAAATTCCTTATAAATAGGATCTGGAGAGATTTAGAATTTCAGTAAGAGTAATTACCTTTTTTTTTTAACTGAAGTAGCATTATCTTATATGCGTGTACAATCTGGGTTTTTTTTTTCACTAAATGTGAGTGATAACTGTTTATTGAATAATTGTACTTTTCTCATAGGCATTATTGATAGTTCTTCTGTTTTCACATGGTAACAGTCAGTGCTGTTATCGTGATTCACTTTACAACGCTGCCTTGTGTTCTGCTGAGTGTATGAGTTCTTCCCCTCTGGCTTATAGTCGGCATTAATTGTTGTCAGTTTACACACACACATTACTACTTGTCTAAATTGGGATGTTTTCTTATCTTTTTATACTCAAAAGTGTAGTCTGCTTTCTTGATTTGAGGTGCTTTTTTGAATAGCTCCGGGATGTTCCTAAACAATTCTTTTGCTTGTTCAAACTTCTCCCCAGGTGGTTTAGCTTTCAACTTTGAAAAGCTGATTTTTTTCAAAGTGCTAGATATCATAAGCCACCATTCAGTTATATATGATGTTTATGCATGCCAAATCCAATCAAGTAATTAATTGTGTATATAAGATTTTAATTGTGTGATTACATCCTTCAATTTCTTCATATACTGTGTTGAAAGATGGCTTTCACAGTCATTACTACTTGTCTAAATTGGGATGTTTTCTTATCTTTTTATATTCAAAAGCGTAGTCTGCTTTCTTGATTTGAGGCGCTTTTTTGAATAGCTCCTGGATGTTCCTAAACAATTCTTTTGCTTGTTCAAACTTCTCCCCAGGTGGTTTAGCTTTCAACTTTGAAAAGCTGATTTTTTTCAAAGTGCTAGATATCATAAGCCACCATTCAGTTATATATGATGTTTATGCATGCCAAATCCAATCAAGTAATTAATTGTGTATATAAGATTTTAATTGTGTGATTACATCCTTCAATTTCTTCATATACTGTGTTGAAAGATGGCTTTCACAGTCATGTCAGGTTGAAACAAAGAATATATAAAGCAGTGAGTTCATTATTCTCTAGCAGGAATTTTTTTATCAGTTTAATTTATAAGACTTAATTGGAACTAAACTTAATTATCAGATACAAGTGAGAGGTGATTCCTGCCCTATAATTATGATTTTGCTCTCAGTTTGTTACTAGAAATATTTATTTTAGAAGATAACTTATTATTCACTATCTTTTGGTATTGTAGGGTTGTACATATTGCCTTTTCAAGCAAAGCCTCATTTTGAAGGAAAGAAAAGGCTACATCTAGTAGAAGTCACTAAAATTATGTTAAGTTTTTCACATCATTGCTTCTTTAAGTCATGTTATGGCTGTTTTTCTAGAACATCCATATAGTCCAAAAAGAACATTTCTGAAAGGGATCACAGGTCTTGGTGTCACATTTTAGCTGACTGACACCACCTGGGTTCCATATTCAGTGGTATTTAGGCTTTTGTTGTGGAATTATGCACGTGACCTACAGAAAATTTCTGAATGGATCTTTTCACAGCTTGAAAAGTGTGGTAGGAACCTGAAAACTGAGGTACAAAAAAATCAGAGACCTAAGAGATTTGTAGTAGAATTTCATGGATTTAGCATCGTTTCTGGCAGCAAAATGGTTTTATCTGAATAAGAGAAAAACATTAACAAGAATTCCTCCTTCTTGACTGGGAGATCACTGCTATTTAAGGTTCATAGCAAGCGGATAGAATGATAGAATCATAGAATTGTCCAGGTGTTTAGGGTTCATTGCAAGTGGATAGAATGATAGAATCATAGAATTGTGCAGGTGGAAGGGGCCTTTTAGATCATCAAGTCCAACCATCAACCCAACTCTGGCAAAAACCATCACTAGACCATGTCTTTAAGTGGCGGAGTCAATTCTGCAGCAGGTTAAGTTTTCTAAAAGATGATATTTTTGAATCCCAGCTTGGCGGTGGTGCTTCACTGAGGTGCCACTTCCCACGTTTTCAGTGTGGCTTTGTACACCAGCTCTTGATCTGTTCCTGTGGGTTGCGTTATGGGTACTTTTGGATATCTAATGTCATTCCTTTGGGCTTTTTTTTCCTCTGTCAGGCCAAATAAGTAACACAGAATCAGAATTGAAAAAACTTGCAGAAGAAAACCCAGACCTTCAAGATGCCTATATAGCAAAGCAAAAGCGCCTTAAGGTAAGAAAACCCTTTGTTTTCCCCCCCTCTTTATTATGGGCTTGTTAGTGTCTGATTTTTTCTGGCACAATGTAAAGATTTGTTTCACCAGTCATTACCAGAAATGTCTTGCAGTCTTACTTTATCTTTTTATCTTTGCTTCTTTTTACTTCCATTATCTGAATTGTCACCAGTATCCAAGTGGTATCCAGCTGACCACATGGAGAAAATAATGCTGTTTTATGAGTAAGCACTGTAGTATCTTAGTCAAAGTTTCTCTGGTAAAATTATAAACTCTGCTCAATGATTAAAACACTAACCTGTGTGTGTATATATATATATATATATATATATATATATTCAGTCTAAGCTGCTGGATCACGATAATATAAAATACCTGAAGAAAATACTGGATGAACTGGAAAAAGTTTTGGATCAGGTGGAGACTGAACTGCAGCGGCGAAATGAGGAAACACCAGGTAAGGAATTATTCTTGCTAAATCCTGTAGGTGCTTATGTTTGGGGAACAAACTTGTTGAAGGCACCGTTATAGGACCCGTTTTAATGTATCCAATTTGACGCTTTTAGTATATACTGATCTGACACCACAGAAGGATCAATGCTGGTTTAAATACTCGTTTAGTTTACTGACACTCTCACTGAGTTCTCACTGTCTCATGAGAGCACTGGATCACATTTTCAGCAGTAAGTATGATTAGCGGCACAATTTTGCAGTGTTTTATCAATAAACTGAAAAAAAACCCCTGCACTACGGAACGTTATTCTTGGTGTCGTAGTTGTAGGCCTCAGTTCACTGTAGTGATTGTGACCTTAGCCTTTAACACAGATTTATTACAATCTTGTTTAAATGCTGTGCTGATATTTGTGATATATGCAGAATTAGCAACCTGGGTTAAGTGCTCTAATCATTAAGCAGCACCCCCCTCCTCCACCCTCTTGGAAAGTTGTGGGGTTTACCTGCCCTCCACCCAAACGAAAGTTGAATTTTGTTTAAATGGGGCTAATCTTCTGCTTATTCAGAGCAGCTCCCAGTGGTGCTAATGAGAATCTGTGATTCTGTGACTCTGTGAATCCTTCCTCTGATGTTACCAGGAGCTGCACGAAGCATCAGATCAGTCAACATCAACAGCATCCGCTCAGATCAATAACCGTTACCAGGAGCTGCACGAAGCATCAGTTAACATCAACAGCATCCGCTCAGATCAATAACTTTGTGTTTGGCTCTATAAATACCTATAGGAATAATTATCAGTCGCTATCAAGACAGTAGATTTGAACCAGCAAACTGAAAATCTAGATTTAATTTCCTACTGACTCAGCAGTGAAAGAGTCACAGGAAATGTTCTAAAGCACAAGGAATGGTAGGATTTTGTTGAGCAAACTGAGTCTGTCGCCGTTTCTAGCAGCCCCTTTGCTTTCTCTGCTAAACAGCCTTTCCAAGGAGTCAGCTTAGTGATGAGCTTAGCAAAACTGCCAGGATCACAGGATTTCGTAAAACTTAGGGCTCTTACATGCCTCTTGGAATTTTGTCTGAGGCATTCACATTTTTGAAGTTTGTGACCAAATGCTTCTCCAGGTCTTGCTCAACCTCTGAGCTTCTGTCTTGCTGCTGCTCAGATCCCTCATTCACTTCCCTCTGGTGCTGCTGCAGGCATCTTCCTTTCACACGGGTTAGTTCCTTTGGTCTTTCTCTCCATCATCTTACTCGATGCACGGGGTGAACCCCCAGGTGTCCTTCCAGCAACACAGGGTGCACTCGTTCTCTGCAGGGTCCTTTCTTCCAGCCCTTTGTAGATGGTTGAAATGGACGGGTACCAGCCATGTGCCAAACTATGGCTCTCCTCTGGTGGTGAACGAGTTGAAAAGGACATTGCAGAGATTTTCTCTTTCCAAAGACCACAAAGATGATGAGGGGCCTGGAGCATCTCACTTATGAGGAAAAGCTGAGGGACATGGGTCTTTTTAGCCTGGAGAAGACTGAGGGGGGACCTAAACCATTCTATGATCCTGTGATCCGTGCTCCTGACTAATGGTGGGCAGGGTGAATATCCATCACTTCCCAAATTTCTCAGCATGAAACCCCCATGCTTTGGGGTCTAGCAGGCACAAAGGAAAGATGGGCAGACAACCTGTCTTCTCACTGAGCTCGTGTGCTTGATGCAGTTTGGTCATCTCAGCTGTTTATTTTTGACTTGAAAGTCTCCAGCAAATGGGCCATTCTTGAGTGAATGCCACAGACCTGAGTGACACGGGAAGGATGTTAAATTCTTCATCAAACTGGTAGCTTTTCAGTACAAGCTAAGCTGCCTCCTTTCCACTTAAACCATTCTATGATCCTGTGATCCGTGCTCCTGACTAATGGTGGGCAGGGTGAATATCCATCACTTCCCAAATTTCTCAGCATGAAACCCCCATGCTTTGGGGTCTAGCAGGCACAAAGGAAAGATGGGCAGACAACCTGTCTTCTCACTGAGCTCGTGTGCTTGATGCAGTTTGGTCATCTCAGCTGTTTATTTTTGACTTGAAAGTCTCCAGCAAATGGGCCATTCTTGAGTGAATGCCACAGACCTGAGTGACACGGGAAGGATGTTAAATTCTTCATCAAACTGGTAGCTTTTCAGTACAAGCTAAGCTGCCTCCTTTCCACTTCTGTTTAATTTAATCCAGATTTTAGGAAAGCAGTTGATGAAAATAAGTGTTGACTCTGCATTCTAATTTATGGACCTGAAACGTGGCTCTTTTTTTCATTAACAAATGTAGGCCAGGCTGCTGAGCCCAAGACTTTACGATACCATATGAAAAAAGGACAGGGTAAAAAATTCATTGATTAAAGTTCATACTTTAGCTGAAGTGTTGGTGGTGTTTATTAGGCAGCATTTTAAATAGCACTAGATTAAACATGAGCCCATGGAGGCTTCTGTGCACGCTTCTATTCCATTAGCTCCTAATTCGTTATTTTTTATCTCTCTTCAGAAGATGGAAATCAGCCTTGGCTCTGTGGTGATTTCTTCAGCCTGGCAGACGTGTCACTTGCCGTCACGTTACATCGCCTGAAGTTTCTGGGATTAGCAAGAAGAAACTGGGGAAACGGAAAGCGGCCCAACTTGGAAGCCTATTACGAGCGTGTCCTGAAGAGAAAAGCGTTTTACAAAGTTTTGGGACACGTCAACAATATATTAATCTCGGCCGTTCTGCCGACGGCGTTCCGGGTGGCCAAGAAGAGGGCACCCAGGGTCCTTGGCACCACCCTGCTGGTCAGCCTGCTGGCAGGAGTGGGTTATCTTGCTTTCATGTGTCTTCGGAAGAGGTTTGCCAATGTGATTTTATCAATTAGAACCAGGCAAAATTATTTTTAGACTCATCTATCCCTGGTGGTGAGCGGAGGGCATTTCTACTCCTCTCCCTCCTCCCTCCCCCTCCCTAGGAAAATATCCCCAGTAAAATATAAAAGTAGAAGAAAGGTTATGCCTGTGAATTAGAGCATTGACACACAGCAATTGTCTCCTGCTGGTGTATAATTGGATTGGCGATGCTGAGATATTTGTGGAAAATAATATGTTAGAGGGGACAACAAAGGAAAGAAGAGACTTTCTTTTCAGATGAGGAGCCATAAGGGCAGTGACAATGCTTTGCTAAAGTGCTTATTGCCTCCTTTATCCAGTAGCTGGCCTAATTATATTGCTTTTATTTAATAGACATGCAGCAGTGTGATAGCTCTTCACCATGGGTGAAATCCATTACTGTGCAGAAACCTGTTGAAATACTGAAAATAGCACTTTAAATGCTCAGAGTAGGACTTAAGAGGAACGTACAGGCTCTGTGCCTGTGGTGTACGGGAGTGAGTGTCTCTGTTGTGATTAATATCTATCGATTTGCAGGTCAGCCTTTAGGAATGTGTTAAAAAGTAGCCTTGTGGAACCACTTCTGTCATTAAATGTTCATGCAGTAGTACAGGAAGAGACCTGAAAGATGTATGAACATCAATGATTTGTGTGCTGTGTGGGTGAAGTTCTCCAGAGGCGTCAATGGTCAACAGATGCTGGACTTCTGCTGAAATGTGAATGGGAGTGAAAAACCCCACGCTGTCTTCTGGAAGCCTTTTTGGTTGTCTTTGGCCCAGGCAGGTGCCCAGCCTGAGTCAAACCAAACCATTTTGGTGCACGTTTCCTGCTTTCATTGGGGTGGCTTGACGGAGTTGTCCCCGTATCAGTGTCCCAGGTACACTTTCTCGTTTCCACTCTGAGCACTGGCTATGTTTTGCACACTCCTTGGCGACGTTAGCAACTGCACGTGCCTCTATTAAATGTTTGCCCACCATGTGCCACAGCCAATGAGACAATGTACGCACAGCAATGCGTTTTGTAAAAGCGATTTGAAATACTTCTCTGTCCTTCAGTCTGGTTGGGTAGCCCAGATTGAAGGCAAAAGAGCAATTTAGTAACCTGTTTACTTGTGGAGAGGAGGCATAGAATTGTTCAAGGCCAGGCTGGATGGGATTTGGAGCAACCTGGTCGGGTGGGAGGTGTTCCCCAGGGCAGGGGTTGGAACTCGATGATCTTCAAGATCCCTTCCAACTCAAACCATCCTATGATTCTGTGATATTGGTGGTTGGTGAAAAATACAGGTCAGTTTGGAGACAGGTGATTTGTATTGCTGATATTTTTTTGTTTTGCAAAGCTGCACTCTTGTAGCTTGTAGGAAAGGTATAGAACCCACTTTGATTGCTTCCCACTGCTTGGCAAATGCCAGGAGTTTTATTAGGTTTGAACGGAGCTCCCGTTTCCAAGAGAAATGCACATTTACCTGAAGGTAGACTTCAAATGTTTTTGCAGCAAGGAAGCAGCCAGGAAGGGCTGAAACTCTCATGAAAGTTTGTTAAGATTTTTATATTCTCGATGAATGTCAGAAAGCCTTGGAATTTTGTTTACAAGCTGTAGATAACAAGCAAAACATAGCTTTAAATGTTTGCCTATCAACAACTAGTGCGGTCAGGCCTAAGTATGTTTTAGATCTGGTGCTGGTGGCTGTGGTCTCTGCACAGTTGCTTGGAGCACCACAAAGATCTGCTCTCAAGTCTGGTGGAAAGAGCTGAGATTTTGTCAAAATGGATAAAACTGTTGAATCCTCCTGTGTATAACTTCATGTTGTGCGAGTTGTCCAGAGAAAGAAGACCTAAACCTTGTTGCTCCTTTTCAGTAATAAGAAACATCTTACCCAGCAAACAATGCTTTTTTTATTTGTCCAAAAGACAGACAGTTTTATATAATTCTATTTCGTGACCCAGTTGTTCTCAAGAACTTGTTGAATTAAATGTGCTCTATTTAGAAGAGCTCTATTATCTCTAGAGTAAGTTTAATCCAACAATACTATTAATGTGCTGGCAGCTTTAACTGAGTTTGTTGTTTGTGTATGGCAGTTCATCTGCATTTGCTTGTGGCCAACGAATTCCACTGAGTTAATAAACACAGAGTAAGGCCTGTAACTTAATGCTTCCCTGGCGTGTAGTTCTGACAGGCCATCTGTAAAATATAACCTGATCAAGTCACGGTAAATTTCAATATACATGACTTAGATTTCTTTAGAGTTAATTTATATTTTACTTTTTCCTTCCTCTTTTTTTTTAAAATATATTTTAAATCTGTTAGCTCTAGATAAGAACACTGACGTTCCCACAGGCGTGCGGGTTTAGGTCACACCAGCAGTCCTGTGGGCTGCCACACAGCCTAATTATTGAGGAAGCAGTTTCTCTTCCTCCCAAGCCCCAGCCATCTCCATGCAGCACGCGTCACTTGCCAGGAGCTGCAGGTACCACTGGGAAGGACCAAAATGACCACCAGATGTCAGTGGTCCTCCAGGGCTACGCGTTGGCTGCCTCGAGATGTGCAGGAAAACACTAGTTTTATCAAACGAAGTGTTTGTGATCTCGGTGTAAGATGGACATGAGCATCCTCATCAGACCAGCAGGCTCTCTCTCAAGAGCTCTGGAAACAATCGCTTTAGTCAACCACAGGCTGGTTCTCTGGTACCTCTCATTTGTCCTTGGGTGTAGCTTCTACACCGGATAAAAAAGAGGGGAAAGTTGGAATAGTGTTTGACGTTGAAATGGATGTCACTGAGCCCCGATTAAACTTGTCATCTGCAGGAATGAACATGGATAAAACTTTTACCCCGGAAAAGTTTGGATCCCTGGTTTAATTCATGCCTGTTAGTTCCACCTATTTGATAGCCTTCTTGTTTTCACTGCCCCGAAGTTCTCTGTGCGGCATCACTTTCTGTGCAGGTGGCAGCAAAAGGCTTATCCATGATTAAATTCCTCAAAATAGGATGAGATTTAGAAGCACATATGCTGTATGTGGCTCTTTGTGCAGGATAGATTTTTGTGTGGTGCTTGTAAAGTTTCTTTTCAGCCTGGCTTATTTTCTTATTTCTTTGGTACCTCTGGACACTGTTTAGATTGGAAACACGAGCAATCTTCTGGTTTTCATTTACTGTTTGCTCTCACATCACGTACCAGATATATTTCATATCATATCTTTGTATGTGGGACCTGCACAATAAACATTGATTCTAAGACCACTTTCTCGACTGGTTTATGTCTCCTGTGTCAGTAAAACCAGCCACATTTGAAGATCACACAGTATTGCCGTGAGGAGTCTGATGCTGTCCAAGGGGAGAAGCCTCTGGTATTTCAGTTCAGAAGGTGATCAACAGATTGTCTTGCACCTCTCACATGGATAGTTTTCTTTGGGCATCTGTCTGAGCTGTGTTATGTGTGAGGCTCGACAGAAGCCATTTAATAACGTAAAAAAACCTATTTAAAGAAGGAGGCCAAGCAGGTTTTGTGTTTTCAATCAATCCATGCCAAAGAAAAGAAAGCTTCCCTTCTGAGCGTGCCCCTGTTTTCTTGGTTTATATTGTTGATCCGCAGAAGCTGGGACTCCTTTCTGTAAGGTGGCAAGCACATAGGCTGTGCCCACACTCATATTGTCATTAATGAGACCGAGTGTGCCCCTGTTTCTTGGTTTATATTGTTGATCTGCGGAATCTGGGACTCCTTTCTGTGAGGTGGCAAGCACATAGGCCGTGCCCACACTCATATTGTCATTAATGAGACCAAAACCTGTGTGCCCTGACCAGTGTTGGGCTGTAAGCTTTTTTTTGTGTGTATGTCTTGCACTGTAATACTCTACATTGAAGCTTCTTTTCAGCAGAGGAGGAGACCTGTTTAGAAAGGCCTGCAGTGACAGGACGAGGGGCAATGGCTTCAAGCTGGAGGGGAGCAGATTTAGACTGGAGATGAGGAGAGGGTTCTTCACTGTGAGGGTGGTGGAGCACTGGAACAGGTTGCCCAGGGAGGTGGTTGAGGCCCCTTCCCTGGAGATATTCAAGGAGAGGCTCGACGAGGCCCTGGGCAACCTGGTCTAGTTGGGGGTGTCCCTGCTGACTGCGGGGGGGTCGGACTAGATGGACTTTGGAGGTCCCTTCCAGCCTGGACAACTCTATGACTCTATGAGACAACACTCCTGGGGCTTGCACGTGCTTCCTCTCGGTGTTTCCAAGGTCGGCAGAGCTGGTGGGATCTTGCACTGTAATACTCTACACTGAAGCTTCTTTTCAGCAGAGGAGGAAACAATATTCCTGGGGCTTGCACGTGCTTCCTCTCAGTGTTTCCAAGGTCGGCAGAGCTGGTGGGATGGACCAGTGTTGGGTTGTAAGCTTTTTTTTGTGTGTGTATAGGTAGGCCCCCTACCATAAAAAAGACATAGAGGTGCTGGAGCGGGTCCAGAGAAGGGCAATGGAGCTGGTGAGGGGTCTGGAGCACAAGTCTTGTGAGGAGCAGCTGAGGGAGCTGGGGGTGTTCAGCCTGGAGAAGAGGAGGCTGAGGGGAGACCTTATTGCTCTCTCCAACTCCCTGAAAGGAGGGTGAAGAGGAAATGGCCTCAAGTTACACCAGGGGAGGGTCAGGCTGGATATTAGGAAAAATTTTTTCACTGAAAGGGTTCTCAGCCATTGGAATGGGCTGCCCAGGGAGGTGGTTGAGGCCCCATCCCTGGAGGTGTTCAAAAGATGGGTTGATGTAGTGCTGGGAGGTATGGTTTAGTGATGGTGATACTTCTTGTTTGTTGTGTGGGTGTCTATTTTTGTCAGTTAGGGTGACGGTTGGACAAGATGATCTTTAAGGTCCCTTCCAACCTAGAAGATTCTGTGATTCTGTGATTCTATATCTTGCACTGTAATACTCTACACTGAAGCTTCTTTTCAGCAGAGGAGGAAACAATATTCCTGGGGCTTGCACGTGCTTCCTCTCAGTGTTTCCAAGGTCGGCAGAGCTGGTGGGATCAGATGGACAGCTGGTAGGGCTTGAGATTGGGGAGATTATCACACCTATGGTCTGTGGACCAGCTTTGAGGTGGCCTTGATGCTGGTGTTAATCAGAGAGACCTTGCTGTGAAAAGCTTACGTCTAAAGAGACCAGAGGAACACGGGTGAGCGGGAAGGGCCCGACGAGTAGAAATGCCTTGTCTGGATTCACGTAACCTTATGTCCACTGTTGTTAGAGGCACTTATTTTAACTAAGTCTTAATTTTATAAGAGCAAGGTTAAGGGAGCAGATCAGCATGCCCTAATCTGTGAGGATTAGAGATGGCAGGAGGCAAAAAATAGGTAAAAATTAGTGGATCTGGAGCTCACCAGAGCACACTGTGCTCTGCAATAAGGCACGTGACATTATTCTGTACGGGGGCCTCCTTATTAAATTGATCTCTCTGTTTACCTGATGTTAGTCAGAGAGGTGCAAGGTAGTGTTGAGGCAACTTAAAAGGTTTGGAAGTCAAAAGCACGTAGAAAAACACATTTATTTCTCCCCTCCTTTCTTTAAAAAGAAATTTTTAGTTTTGGGGCAGTACCAAGACAAAAAATCAGGCACTCAAAACTCAGGAAATTCCAGAAGCTAGAGTTCTTGCAATGCTGTTAACCCACTCATACAGTACTTCAGTAGTGTTTTTATTTCTGTTTCTCTTTCTGAGTTGTTATCATGGTGCTTTATTTAATGTGAAGTTAAAAATGTGGCACCATAAAATAGCTAAGCTGTGGATAAGCTTAGAGTTGTGGGAAATAGCTGTTGGAATTTGCAGAGTTGAAGTCCTGGCTATTTCCAGCTCAGCCTTATATCAGCATTTATTTTCACTAGAGTTTAAAATACTCATAAATATTTGTATAAAAGTGTATTGCGTAAAATAATATATAATAGAATAAATCAATATTAATACTTCTAACTAATATATTGATCTCCTATTGATATCCTATATAATGTCCCTATTTATCCCTTCCATATTTCTTCTGCTAAAAATGGCTAATTAACAATTATGTATATTGCTATATTATCTATATTTATAAAATCAGTCTCTGAAGCTCAAATTATGACAATCTGATTGATTAATTTCAAATTAACACAACGATCATCATCCTTTATGATTCATACTCAGAAGT